TACACTGAAAAATAATTACTCAAGTAAAGTACAGATAACCAAAATTTCTACTTAAGTACAGTAACAAAGTATTTGTACTTAGTTACTTTACAACTCTGATTAGCCAAATGACAAAATTAGTGCTACACTAGTTAGTGGTGCACTAAACTTGGTTGCATCTTTGCCATCTTAAACTGCTGTAATGTGTTTGCAGTTTATGTTATTTACTAATAGTTGTCTGGAGAACTTTTTGTAAAGGTCTATGTAACATTTGCACAAAAAATGAAGAGGGCAATGACAGAAGACAGATTGGTGGTTGTGATCCTAATTGAGAAAGCCAAACCAAAAAGAGAGCAGAAAGTAACAAAAGATTTTACACTGCTGTACAGGGCAACGACTTCAAATATGCAAAACATATATGAAAACAACAAATTGTCAAATCTAGGAAAGATTTTTAAGGAGCAGTGGTGGGCAGCGCTAATTCAAAAATTAGCTCCGTAATTTCTAAAGCGCTTATGAAAAAATTTAGGTCTGCAACTTCTAAACCACTTATGCAATAGAAATATTAGCGGAAGCTAATTTTAAACTGCAGGTTCAATTTGACACTTACTAGCTGGCTACAATTCATGTACAAAATATGTACAATGCTGCCCACTAGTGGTTTATGAACCCTGGCACAKCTCATTTTACAACCTCTGATTGCTGAGGATCTGATTTCCTCAAACAGGCCTTTGGCTCGTGGTCTAAAAATTTAAAAGTTGTTGAGGATTGCTAGTTCGGCTGCTTCTTTGTCTTTTTCTTTTGTTTATTGTGGATTTTTCATTAAAGAAGCATCAATAAAGTAATTTTAAAACTGTTTATTGGAAAACTGAAGTGATGCATTCTGGGTGCATCTGTGATGGGAAACGAAAAACAGATGTAAATTTGTAACAATTAATAAGACCGCTAAAGTGCAAATGAAATATTTAGATCTGCAATTAGCGGATTTGCGCTTTAGCGGACTGCTGCTCACCACTGGTAAGGAGTGAAAAAATGATTTTTCATTCAAATTGGACTATTTTCAGTAGCAACATAAACTCATTTCTGTGTGGTTACTTACTAATCAGAGCATCAAAGTTTGGGTCTGGACGAAGGGACCTCTTAGAAACAAGCTTTTTACGACAGGTAGGACACTCTTTATTACTGCGAGAAAAGAAAAAAGTTATCAGGTGATGCAGAGGTCAGAAGTTGATAACTGGATCTGTAGTGTCTAATTGTGTACTTGAGAAAAAGACTGGTCATAGTGTGCTCCAATGTGCTTGTAAATGTAAATTATGAGGAAAAGAATTGTTAAAACAGTCAATTTAATTCAGTTTATTTATGTAGCACCAAGTCACAACAAACATCGTCTCAGGGAATTGTACAAAAAATATATATTAATTGAAGAAACAATTTAATTTAATTAGATTTCATGTCAATTTCATTTCATCACAGTCTCCATCCTGAACAGCACATGGGCAACAGTGGAGAGGAAAAACTCCCTTTGAACAGGAAGAAACCTCCAACAGAACCCAGGGTTCCCACACTTTGGTCAACACCAAATTCAAGGACCTTTCAAGGACTTTCCAGTACCAATTTCCTTTCCTTTCCAACRTCCTTAAAATCCTTCCAAATGTTTCTACAACTTTACAGCACCTAACACATTTTGCTCTGGTTCTGCTCTTTTTCATTTTCTAGCACTTCTGTATTTTTCGGACTATAAGCCACGACTTTTTTCCTGAACTTTGAACCATGCGGCTTATAGTCCGGTGCGGCTTATATGTTAATGTTCGAGGTTTTTTTTTTAAATGGCGGGTGTGGGTTATAGTCCGAAAAATACGGTAATTTAATTTTTTTCTTTATTTAGAAATAATTTCTGATCACACAGAGCTTTCATCCATTCACCAACTTTTAGTATGAAAGCTGTGCACTCTGATAC